GCCCCCTGGGTCTGAAAGCACTAGGAACGATCCAGATAACACTTAACATCCATCCTGATGTGCGATCTCCTGAACCCCCGACCTCCTCCGGAGCTTCCCTTCCAGCAAGAGCGGCTCCCATTCTACTCAGCGCCTCCACTTTCACCGGCCCCCTGGGGAAGGTCTCCAAGAACACAGAGCATCCTTTGTTCAACCCACAAACAGCTTTTCTGAAGCCCTCCCGCCCCAAAGTTCCCTCAGGCCCAAACCTACAGGGCCTCCTCCCTCTGAGGGTCGCACCTCTGCTGGTGTGCCCCCCACTCCTTAGTGCTTGGGCATTCCCCAGTGGGGGGCGGGGTGTGGGAATGAGAAATGCGTGTATGAGAGAGGGAGAGAAAAAAAGAGACAGACAGACAGACAGACTGGACGTGAGTAGGGATGGAATTCTCTTGACTTCCAGTCACCAGCGGGAACACTCAATAACTTCCTGTCAACCTGCTTCTGCTGCAGTGTTTTCTCCCCCCCCCCCATCTTACCCTACCTTTCCCTTTCCATTGTTTAGCCTTTTGACAGGCCAAGGTCAAATTACAAACTATCTTTCAGGTTCCTGTTCCTCAGGGACCCCAGAATGGGACAGAAACACCCAGGGGCTTAGGGGCTATCTGACTCATTTCTGGGGTCAAAGGAGAACCCTTTTAAGCACAAAATAATTCCCTAAACATATGTGGGACGCTTCTTTAAAGCAGAGGCACTCAATCCTGGCTGCGGAGCAGAACCACCTGTGGAATTTTTAAAAAATACTGAGGCCTGGGGCGCCTGGGCAGCTCAGTTAAGCCTCTGACTCTTGGTTTCAGCTCAGGGCATTACTTCATGGTTCATAAGTTCAAGCCCCACATCGGGCTCTGTGTGCTGATAGAGAGGAAACTGCTTGGGACCCCTCTCTCCCTCTTTTTCTACCCCTCTCTGGCTCACACTCTCTCTGTGTCTCAAAAATAAATAAACATTAAAAAAAATATATTGATGCTTGGGGTGCCTGGGTGGCTCAGTAAGTTGAGTGTCCGACTTCAGCTCAGGTCATGATCTCACGGTTCGTGGGTTCAAGCCCCGCATCGGACTCTGGGCTGACAGCTCAGAGCCCGGAGCCTGCTTCGGATTCTGTGTCTCCCTCTCTCTCTGCCCTTCCCCTGCCTGTGCGCTTTCTCTCAAAAATAAATAAACATTAACAAATTTTTAAAATATTGATGGCTGGGCTTCAATTTAGACCAATTAATTTAGAATCTTTGGTGGAGAGGTCCAAGCATCTAAGCTATTTTTTAAAGTTTTTTTTTTTTTTTTTAATTCTGAGAGAGATTGAGAGACAGAATCTCAAGCAGGCTCCGTACCATCAACACAGAGCCCATGTGGGGCCTGAACCAACAAACTGTGAGATCATGACCTGAGCCGAGATCAAGTTTGACGTTTAACCAACTGAGCCACCCGGTGCACACAGGCACCCCTAGGCATCTGGGCTTCTTGAACCCCTCAGGTGATTCTATTCTAAAAGGAAGCCAGGTTGACAACCGTAGCTCTAAAACTATTCTCTCCATAATTAGAGATCAAAGTTTGTTAAATAAGCAAATAAATGCTTAGTAATGCTTTAAAAGCAAAGAAGGGAGGAAGCCCACTCTTACAGGGAACTTACTGAGTGTTGAGTCCCCTGTGACTTGGCGCGTGCGCGCGCGTGCACACACACACAAATATGGAAAGGAGTTGAGAGGGAGGATAAGGAACTTGGGGAGGCTGAGGTTGAGGACAAGACCTGGCAAGCAGCTTAGCCCAGGGGTGGCCCTTCAGATGGAGAGAGAAGAGCCCAGATGCTCTTTCTGGAGAAACCCCAGGATGAAATTCCTGGGGACAGGGAGACCAGCATTACTCTTACCTGAGCTAAAAACCTCTTTGCTTCTATTTCTCCCAAAGTCAGTTAGGGGAAAAACTGCCCAGAAAGGTTTCTACTAAAAGTGTGTGTTTGTGGGGGACGGGGGGGGGGGCGGGGCGTGAGCATGAAAGGCTGTGTTTATATAACCAGCATGAACGGGAGAATTGAGGACACTGGCTCTTCATCCCCGCCCCCAGGATGTACCTCAAGAACACAGGCAACTCATGTTAACAAGAAATTTTTGCCCACTAATGACATCGCCTGTCTCCTTCAGTTTGAGATGTTTGAAGGCAGCTATATCCTTGAAGCAATTGCTTCGGAGTCCTCCCTTTGAAACGTGGGTCCCCCTTGCCTCCAACCTCCTAGCCTCCACCCTGGCCCCTGACAGGGGCCTCTGGGATAAGAAGCCGCTTCCTTCCTTACCATGTCCTTAAAGCCTCCAAGAACAGCAGCAGTGATGATGCCCAGGAACAGGCCGACGATGTTGAGGATGGTGGCGGACCAGAGCAGGTGGTAGAGGTGGATGATGTCCTGGCAGCTGCTGACATCGATGTATTCGTAGTACCCACCGGTGATCTCCACCCGGCTGGACAGGGAGAAGCACACACCCGTCAGTCTCCCGGGAGCAGGCTGTCCCCTAGGGCTTTGGCTACTATGCAGCTCAGCGAAAAAGACAGGTGAATAGGTGGGGAGCTATGGTAAGGGACGTCATAGCCATGAACGCACTGGGGAGCAAGGCACCGTAATAAATCGAAGTGCGAGTGCTGCTTAGGCAAAAAATAAATTGAAAAACTCACCTCCTACCTACCAAACACTTGTTGCCGTCACCGACACGAATCCTAGACAGCGCACATTCACGTTTACTACGTGCCAGGCACAGCGCTAAGCATTTTACATATGTGAATTCATTAAATCTGTGCTAAGACGGTAGCTACTAGTCACTGTTGAAATGCAAATAAGTTAAAATTAAGTAAAACAAAAAATTCAGGGGCACCCGGGGGCCTCAGTTGGTAAAGCGTCTGACTTCCGCTCAGGTCATGAGCTTACAGTTTGTGAGTCCAAGCCCCGCATGGGACTCTGTGTTGATAGCTCAGAGCCCGGAGCCTGCTTCGGATTCTGTGTCTCCCTCTCTCTCTGCCCCTCCCCCGCTCAAGCTCTGTCTCTTTCTCTCTCAAAGATAAATAAACATGAAAAAAAAATTAAAAATTCAGTTCTTCAGGCTCACCAGCCACATTTCAAGTGCTCAATAGCCACACTTCTTACAACGTTTTTTTAACATTCATTTATTTAGTTCTGAGATGGAGGGAGGGGCAAAGAGACGGGGAGACAGGGAATCCCAAGTTGGCTCCTCGCTGTAGCGCAGAGCCCAATGCAGAGCTCGATCGCACAAACTTTGAGACCATGACCTGAGCCGAAATCAAGAGTCAGAGGCTTAACCGACTGAGCCGCCCAGGGGCCCCCTAGCTACACTTCTAAGAGCCACACTAGTGGCTGGCTACTGCTCTGGACAGAGCGGATTACATTTCTGTCACTGCAGAAGGTTCTACTAGACAGCACTGCAAATCCTTATGATATTCTATGAGGTAGGTACTATCACCATTCCCATTTTCCTGACGAACAAACTAAAGCAGAGAGAAGTCAGGAACTCGCCCGAGTCATAAGTGAAAAAGCTGGGATCTGAATTCAAGCTTCAAAGATTTCACCGTTTCTCCTCTTTCAAAACAAAACATCAACAAACACAAAACAATGTCCCAGTAAAGAACTAAAGCCAAGTTGCTGCACAAAACCTGAATCTCACCTCCTTGTGGAGGCCTTCCCTGACCACTCTGTCGAAAGACACCCCCGCTCAGCTCAGTCACTGTCTATCACATTAGTTGCTACAGACTGAAATGTATCCCCCTCCAAAATTCCTAAGTTGAACACCTAACTCCCAAAATGATTGGATTTGGACACAGGGCTTTTTGGAAGTAATTAAGGTTAAATGGAGTCAGAAGGGCAGAGCCTTAATCCGATAGGACTGATGGCTTTATAAAAAGGAAGAGAGAGAGAGAGAGAGAGAGCAAGTTCTCTCCATCTGTAGGCGCTGAGGAAAGGCTGCGTGAGGACACAGTGAGAAGGTGGCCATCTGCAAGCCAGGAAGAGAGCCCCCACCAGAACCCGGCCATGCTGGCTCCCTGATCTCAGACCCCGAGCTTCCAGGTCTATGCGAGAGTGAATGTCTGTTGTTTAAGCCACCTAGTCTATGGTATTTTATGATGGCAGGCAGAGCTGACACGTTAGCCTTCTTGAGCACTCATTACTGTCTGTCTCTTCAAGTTGAATGTGAGCTCCGTGATGGCAGGGACTCAGTTCCTTTTGTTTGCTGCGCTCCCTGACACCTAGCGGGTGCTACATAAATCTGTGTTGAATTGATTAAGTGAAAGTTCCTGTCTTCTGGGATGTTGCAGACTAGTTTACAACTTGGCCGCTGGAATCGCTAATGAATCTCCAACATTGTGGTTCTTAAAATCACAACCAAGTGCCCTGGCATCAGGATGGTTATTACGTGTGACTCCCCTGTTGTAAGAACACTGGATGTGAAAAAGGACAAAAATGAAAGGTTAACCTCCAAAGGCAATCAGGGAGGGATTATTCACACAAGAAAAGACTTTTAAACTTTACAGGTGATTTTATTTTATCTCAGGATCCTTTAAAATCAGTGTTTTTCTGAGGAACTGAAATCAGTGTGGTTACGGGACAGACTGCATCGGAACCATTGGTGTGTTTGTGTGTACATGTGCCTGCCTGTGTATCAGCGTGCTGTTTGCGTGTCTGTGTGCACGTGTGTCTTTGAGAAACAGATGCTTAAACACACAGGTTGCTAGGCCCAGCCCCAGTCCCACAGAATCCGGCAGAAAATCTTAGGGTGAGCCTTGGGAATCTGTGTTCATGAGCTCGCTGATGTTTGAAAGCCACTGTTTTGTTTATTTTTTATGTGTTAGGTAAACTCTGCCCCCAACATGGGGCTCCAAGTCACAAACCTGAGACCAAGAGTCACATGCGCCACCCGACTGAGCCAGCCAGGCGCCGTGAAACCCACGGTTTTAAATAGTAAGCTTCCATACTGAAATTTTAAAGGTGTCTTAATTCGTCCGAATTTGAACCAGATTTCAGTATTTTCCAGACTATAACTGGAGACCACCCACAAGCAAGGCGGACACACAGAAAGCTTAATCCCACTACCAGTGGCTCTCTGCATGCATCAGGGAACACAGTAACTCCCAAGTAATTATTACTCTTGGCAGGTAGAATATTTTCTTTCTGATATTAAGTAAGAATATGTATAGCTATCTACCATCATAGATGTAGGTCAAATCTGTGATTTTGAAAAACCAATGCAATTATAATAACAAAAAGTTCTATAGAGTACTTAGTATTACCTGGTACTATTCTTTGTTTTTGAATTTATTTATTTATTTTGAGAGAGAAAGAGTGTGTGCATGCAAGCGGCAGAAGGCAGAGAGAGAGAGGGAGAGAGAATCTCAAGCAGGCTCCACACTGTCAGCACAGAGCCTGACCGGGACTCAATCCCACCATGAGATCGTGACTTGAGCTGAAATCAAGAGACGGACGCTTAACCGATTGAGCCACCCAGACACCCCCACCTGGTACTATTCGAAGCAGTGTGCAAACACGAACTCACTTAATCTTTAGAATAACCCTATGTGGTAGGGGCTATTTTTATCCCTGTTACCTACAGATGAGAAAATCAAAGCAGAGAAAAAAATTAATTAAGTAGTGGAGGTGAGCTTTGAACCCAGACACGCTGGTCTTGAGTTTATACTTTACCATGACAATTTCCTGCCTCTCAAAATCAAAACGGAGCCCCACTGACATAAATCGTTGTTGAATTCTGTTACTCTATCATTATGAATTATAATCGAAAAATCAGATTTATATTTCATGCTACATTTTTTCAGATTACTTGCACATATCTTTTATTCTTCACTGAACCTAGAAGAAAACCATGAACCATAACATTGGCACCCAGGATATTAGACACTGGATGAAGAAATGATCCATTAAAGAGGGATCAAGAAAGAAGACATATTTCATTATCCTTTAAAAAAAATTCTCACTTCAGATATAAAATATTAACATATCCCATGTTTATTGGGATTTTAAAGCATTACTCTCATCAGTATCATATATTAATAAGAGATTTATGCAGTGAGAAGAAAGGTGCTTACTGCCACGAAAAGGCATAGCCGTACAAGAGCTGTAAAAAGGCAGGCCTGTGAGTAAGGGTGAGTGTGGGGTTGGAGGGCTTGACAGTGAGCTGCTGACTTTCCTGAATGATCTTTGTCTACCTCCCAACACAGGGAGGGCAGGCTGGGCTGGGAGTGCGCACAGACAGGCAGCCCTCTGGAGTCGAACTGCATCTGGGTCCCAGCTCTGTCCCTTATTTGCGGAGCGACTTTCTTAACCTGGGGGATTTCAGGAGACAATGCAAGAAAGCAGCACTCCAGCACATAATAAGAGCCCCCCACAAAACATGTAGCTTTGTTGTTGTTTTTCCCTTCTAAGAGCCAGCCTCTGGCAAGGAATCCTTGAATCTTGTTCTTTTTTTAAAAAAAGTCTTAAATGTTTTTATCTCATTTTTGAGAGAGAGAAAGACACACACACAGAGTGCAAGTGGGGGAGGGGCAGAGAGAGAGGGAGACCTGAAACCCAAAGCAAGCTCCAGGCTCTGAGCCGTCAGCACAGAGCCCGATGTGGGGCTCGAACTCACGGACCATGAGATCATGAGCGGAGCTGAAGTCGGACGCTTAACCGACTGAGCCACCCAGGCGCCCCTGAATCTTGTTCTTAAAAGCATTGACACCTTGGGGCGCCTGGATGGCTCAGTGGGTTAAGCGTCTGACTTCGGCTCAGGTCATGATCTCGCAGTTCATGGGTTCTGGGTTCAAGCCCCACGACAGGCTCTGTGCTGACAGTTCAGAGCCTGGAGCCTGCTTCGGATTCTGTGTCTCCCTCTCGCTCTTTGCCCCTCCCCCATACGTGCGCGCTCTCTCTCTGTCTCTCTCTCTCAAAAATAAGCTGTTTTTGAAAATGAAAAAAATAAAAGCATTGACACTTTAAAGGCACAGACCACACCATGGTGCGCAGGGTACCAGTCTGTTTAAAAATACTCAATTATTTTAGATACTATATGTTTGGTTCCAGTTTGAGCAGGTTCGGCAGCTATTGAAATTTTTTTTTTTTTTTTTTTTACTTAACCATGAAGCAAAAGAACATTAATATTTAGGTCTGGTTCAGGGTTTAACAAATTCATGCGGTTTGTTGCTGTTGGAGATTCATGATTCCACTTGGTTCAGCGTCCATGCCTGCGAGGCCCGCCTACCAGACCCTACCACTGCTTCATTAAGCTTCCTCAAACATTCTTAAAACTAAATCATTCATTTAATCAAAATCCTCCCATGGCTCCCCATTACCTTCAGGAAGAAGGATCCAAATGTCTCAGTTGGCCACAATCCGGCTCCAAAATGGAGTCCAGTCTCCAGCTAGGCCAGAGCCCTGAGAAACCCCAAACTGGCCATACTGGGTACTTCTTCCGAACCTGTGCTCAGATCTGTCTCCCTGCACGGAAGGTACGGCCTTCTGTTCTCTGCCTGTCCTAGCCTTTCCCACTGCTCAAAGCTTCCACAGCCATGTCTCTAGTGTCTTCTTCAAGGACTCCGGTGCCCATTCATTAGCTTTTCCCCTGGACTCCCATAGCCTCAGACAGTCTGTTCCTCTTAGTTTGGCACTTTGCGTATGTCAGTAATTCAGTTAGTCACTTCGTCTAATGTTTATTGACAGCCTACTCAGTGCCGAGTACGGTGCTGGGTGCTGAAGCTACAACCAAGGTAGACGTAGCACCTCCGTCTCAATTGTAACCTCTCGAGGGCGAGGGGCATCTCTTACACTTCTTTTGCGTCTCCCTCGCTGTCTAGCACAGTGGCAGAAACACCGCAAGTCATCAATAAATGTCTGTGAATGAGTAACTGAGTTCAAAGCCTGATTGTGGCATTGATCATGAGGTTGATTGCCCAATATGGGCTTTCACCCTCTTGCTCTCAACTTGCTGGGTGTGCCTGGAGAAAAAGAGAACCTCTCTGTTTCCATCCCCATTTAACAAAGCAGGAGGCAACAGATCTTGGCTAAAGCAGAAGGGCCTCCTTCTGCTCTTCCAGAGGCGCCTGGAACCATCCACCAACTCTCGGTGGACAGGCAATGCCAATGGACAAGCTTGTGCATCTCTCACTGCATGTATTCTGTGTATGGGTCTAAGCTGCCCTCCCCCCAGCCCCTCTGGTAAGCCGAGTTCCTGAAGGGTAAGATTATGCTTTCCCCATACCTATTCTTCTCGAACAGTCCCTGGCACATAGTAGGGGCTCAATACAACTTTGTTGAAGCGGGGGAATGAATGAAAGTAAGCTGTCTTCTTCCATGTTATTGCCAGCTGAAGCAGTTCACCAAACCACCCCCATTTCCTTCCATTTCCTTTAGGTTACACACTGAGAACCAGTGATATTGACTTGACCTCTCCAAAGCTGAGCGAAGTGCTCTGAAAGGCAGCTGCTGAAGAGCTGTGTCCTAGAGAAAGCCACCTTCCTGCATAAGGCTAAATGGAATCATCTATGTTTGGTATTAAAACCTGACTGCCTTGACGTCAAAGAAGGTCTGTGGGTTTGAGGGGACAGTAGAAACTCTGTTTCCATAGCACTGTACAAATGACTGCCTGATGTTTTTGTTCCCACTTTTTTTTTTCTTGGCCTCCTTTCCAGGAAATGGACTGGAGGAGCTGGCAATTGATTAAAAATAGGTTTTGTGTGAGGAAAACAAATACAGGCTCTGCAAAATTAAAGTCCCCGCATCTCTCCGAATGCTTGCTGCTAGCTATGTTTAGGCCTGGAGTTCAGGTCTCTTTGGTGCTGGCTGGAAAAAGCCTCAGGTCAAGGAAAACCTTTTCCCTCTATTGTAGGATCATTACCTCTTAAGTCTCGTGGCCCTGGTTTATGACCCTAGTGGGACTGTTTCCTGATGGAAAGTTCAGTAAAGTCTTTTCCTGGTGGCTTTGCCCTTGGAAACTTAGCACCACAGACAGGGCCTTGACTGATGCCCGGGGCTGGGGTCCGGGCCCCAGGTAGGTGAAAACCATTTCCAGGCTTAAGGACCACGTCCCCGTGACCCCTCTTTGTTGCCTAGTTCAATATTTTATCTTCCTGGTGAAAGGGGCGTTCTTCTTTTTGGTACTTTCCAACAAATGTCACTCCTGTTTCATTAGGCCTTTACTCATGCCCGGTCCTGTGCCAGGGACCGGGGATAGAGATAAGATGAAGTCATGGTCCCTGCCTCCAGAGAACCCAGAGTTTAGCACCACTCCTCATAAAGTTCCTTGAGAGCCTTGAAGACAATACTGCATAACTTGCTTTAAGAAAGTAAGAAAGTCAGGGGCGCCTAGGTGGCTCAGTCCGTTAAGCATCTGACTTTGGCTCAGGTCACAATCTACTTACTCAGTTTGTGAGTTTGAGCCCCACTTCGGGCTCGCTGCTGTCAGCCCAGAGCCCGCGTCAGATCCTCTGTCCCCCCCACCTCTGCCCCTTCCCTGCTCAAGCTCTCTCTCTCTCTCTCAAACATAAAAGAAACATTTTCTTAAAAAAGTAAGAAAGTCAGTTAATATGAAGTTCAGATTGACAGGAAGATAAACTGGGCTTAGTCTTCACTTTTGAAAAAAAAAATGCACCTAAGGACTCAACTGAATGGAATTTAAAGTAGGATTTAGTTTATTCACACCTTTTCCAGAAACACACCTAAATTCAGAGAGAAAGGCGCGCCTGCAAGGAATCACTTCGCAGCCTCCCAGGGGGCCTCGGCTCCTCTCCATCCTGGGCCCGCAGGTGTGAGCCTGCTCCCAGCACCCCCACCAGGAGGCCAGGAAGTGAGAAAGGAGGGGGAGCAGGCCAGAGGAGGGAGGAGAGCAGTGAGCTGGGCGAGGGAGGGGGGAAAGGAGAAGGAAGGACAGCGGCAGGGAGGGGGGCATCAGGGGAGGCCAAAGGAAAGATAGCAAAATAACCCCAATTCCCCTAGGACCT